GCTAACTTGACTTTTCAATGTATCTCTTCGTAATCATTTCTCTATACTCCAACAAAAGTGAAACAACACTCTTTTCTTCTTTATGGTCAAACACTGACATCTGGTGATTAATTTAGAGTTTAATTGTATTTCTCCTTTCCCTCTCTCATGATCCCCCTACCCTCCCGAGCTCAATCTTGACTGATTAGGTTCTAGAACGGCTATGTAACGAACTATCAGGTAGGAGTTCCCTTGCTCTTCATCTTGACACGTGTGTGTTGTGTGTGTGTGTATGGGTGTGGTGTTGGGGGTCACTTGTTTCCTAAACTCTTAATGTCATCTTTCTTACTTTACTTTCTTATTTTAGGAAAGCATACTTGAATAGCTTCCCAGAGAGGATGAAAGAGAAGTAGTATTTTGAGGCTCTACATGTCTGAAAATGTCTTTTTTCCATTATTACCATAATTGGTAGTTTGGCTAGATACAGAATTCTGTGTGAAAATTTGTATTCATGGCCTTTTGGTTCCATTATTAATTGAGAATTGCAATTCTTTAAGATTCATATAAAATCTATTTAATTTTCTCTCTTTTCATTTATCAATTTTTACAATCTCTTAATTGCAAACTAAGGGAACTACAGGCCAGTTGTTAACCCCACCCCTTAGGCGAGGGGAGGGCAAACAAATCTATTTCCAATGGGTCTGTTATCTGAACTATTCATTTTCCCAAAGTATCTCCCATCTTCTGCCTTGGGAATAAACACAGAGATCGGATCATTCCGAGAAAATGGCTGTTTCAACTCTTCAGTATGCAATCCTGTTTTCCAGAATGCCTCCTATCTCCAAATCTGCAGTCTCTTGATCAACTTCCCCAGAGAATAACCATTCCTAGCAAGAGTGGGAAAACCGTGGGCCATCTGTTTCCTAAATCCCCCAATCTAAATCTTGTTCAGCACCATGCTTTTACCCCATCCCCACTCAGGGAACCCACTGCCTCCTGACCCCCTGGTTAGCAGTATCTTCAACGGCCACTTTGTTAAGAATGGCACTACTAAGTCATCTAATTTACATATAAAAAGGGGTGCCACTCTCCACCCATTCTCTTGGTTCCTGTAAATTTAGGCTTTCTCCCTAACAGCCGTCTTGGTGCGGTCTTAGAAAGGAGAGACAGATGTACACTTCAAGCTTCCTTTACACTTGCAAGTTGCCAAGTTTAACCAGCGGCCTATTTTTTGTTTGCTGGTTTTACAGCTTAGCTTTCACTCTCAGTAATCTAATTCATTCAAATATGCTTCCTGGACTTACTTTCAACCTTAGCATCTTCTTCGCACTTAGGAAACCATGCACTTTGGGGGGGGGGTGACTGTGAGGGGGGAGAAATACACTGTCATAAATATGCATATACACAACACAATACAACTACTCTTCACTTCGTCTCTCATCTCATATGGCACCTTCGTGATGATAGTAAACACTTTACTATCAGTATTTTGAGCAATAACAATGCACACCTGGAAATAACAAACAGTGAGATATGACGTCAGAGTCATGCTGGCTGTAATCCTCATTGTATGTCAACTTGACTGGGCCATGATTCATAGTGATTTTCCAGTTATGTAATGATATAATTTGGCAGTTATGTAATGATTGAGTCATCCTCCATTTAGTAATCTCATGTGGTCTTCATTCATGTTTGTATAATGCCAATTTTACGTCAAGATCTGGTCGTTGGGACCTACCCATGTTGGTAAGTGAGGAGCAGGTACTTGCAGTGTTAGGTTAGTGCTTAGTTTGTTCGTGGGTCTTACACAACTATCCTCAGAAAGCTCATTTTAATACCAATCCAGTGAGCATTTACTCACAGGATGAAGGGCAGAGCTGACAATATAAGTTTTTTTTAAAAAGAATGAGTTAAGTCTAGGCAAAATGTGGAATAGCAGCTACAGGTCAATAATAATAGGGCATTAAAAAA